CATGCTACATATGTGCGTGCGTTCTGGTTTGTATGTTTTCTCCCCCTTCAAATTACAATCCAATAGCCTATCATCATACTTAACGATATAAAGTTGACACTGTCAGGTCCATTCTCCCTTTAAGAATTAGGATTTGGGAGTGACGCGGATATTCTTTATTTGAGAAAAGTTCATATTTGTGTTGTCAAATTTCACTATGACCCTCAAATTCTGTCTCTTGTGTTATCATATACTGAATGCCAGCAAAACTACAGAGCAAAATCACACTCTTTCTGATTGAACCAATCTATGAACTGTCTGAAACAATGGATATCCGCAGCTCCAAATGGGCCCCAAAAAAAATACCCACACCCCTTGGGGCTAAGCCCCCCCTTTCTTTGAATCCTAGAAACGCCCCTGCCTCACAGTGTGCATGTTTAAGGAACATGGAAAAGGAGATCCCAAAATGACTTATTTTCCTCGAGGGAATAAGTGAAGAAGTGAAGAATGTCTGCCTCCCTTTGGCCAGGAACAGCAATTGTTATTCAAAGAATATGTTTGACTGTTTTGCTCCTTGCTTGCTGTGGACTGACAGAATGGTGGATGTGTGAGGCAGCAGCTGTGCTGATGAACACTGGGAGAGAGAGAGAGAGAGAGAGAGAGAGAGAGGGAGAGAGAGAATCGATGACCAACACGCGCTGATCGGGGACGGACCAAGGAGTGACGCGCAGCTCGGCTTGTGCAACAGTGACATCTTATGGTTCCTCCTCTGCCGGTGGAGTCGAGGCCGTGTGCCGGTGCAGCCCGCCGCAACCCAGCCACGCCGCAGTAAATAAAGATTATGATCACATTATGCAAATGAATGCTCCGTCTGTACACGGCTCCCTCGTGTTAGCCCCGCTCTTGCTTCTGTGTTATGACAGTTATTTAAGTCCTCGAGGCGACGGAGAGTTTGACTGTGCAGCCAAGTGTTGACAAGGCTGAAGGTGATGGAAGTCTTGCTTTGACAAATACGCATGAATACATTACTTTGTTCCAGGTGCGGTGCGCTGGCTGAGCATGAAATGAGCTCACACAGGTGAGCCCAAGCAGGCAAAAGCCCGGATTTGGACATTTAAGGATCATTTATTGTCCTTCTGCAACATGGGGTGACTTAAGCAAGTAACAAGGCCTGTTTAGACTATATAGTATATACATACTTTTGGTATTTTAAGACATTAACAGTATGAGTATTGTTCAAAAGAATAATTTAAAAATTGTTTTAAAACCAGGCTTAGCATTCCAAAACAGCTTTTCATTTGTCAGAATTCTCTCCATTAGGTTCACTTATAGGCAGTTTCAAAAGTGAGTTCCTTGACCACAGCTGTGACCTTACACCAATCAAGATCTCTACATGTTTTACAGATACAGCGATGACACAACGTCCACCGATTGATTGATTTTTATTGCGGAATATTTTTAAAACGTCCTTGGAGGCTTTAGTCCTGTCGGCAACCTTTTCTGTCCAAAGAGCCATTTTGCCGTATTTTTCACCAAATAAAATTGGTCTGGAGCCGCAAAAGCTCTTTGATATCACAGCGTATAAAGTTGTATTTATAGTTATATTGTATATACAAAAACTATAGTTTGTTGTATTGATGAAATTATAGAACAAGAATAAAGACAATTCTTGACATTTTATTGCTATTTTACCTGTTAGAACAATATTAAACTCGTATGAAGAGGAGAAAAAAACTGCTCAGTTTGCTGCAGCAGTTGAGAAATTGCTATTTTTCATTCATCTCCAGTGTGATACTTATCAGCAAATGCTGTGTGCTTGTTCTGGAAGTGTCTTTCAACATTACATTACAGTAAGCCAGCATCGTTGGCAGTGAAAGCAAATGAATACGTCCACGCAGAATTAAACTCTCTATTTTCCTCCGTGACTTTTCTTTTTTGGATTTATCCATTGATAGTGTAGCCGAGAGTTATTGTTGCACCTATACTTTATGATAATAATAAAATAATAAATATGGGGCTCCGTAATCTGCGCCAAGACGGCAACAACTTTATTCACTTCTCCCACACTTCACCAGGAGGACGGACACAAAATGAAGGACTTTCCTTTTCTTCTTATTGTTTCTTAACTATTGTGAAGTCCACACACATAAACTATAAAGGAACTAAACATTGATTGCTCTCCAGTACGACAGAGACTTCAGTCACCAGCAGAGCTACGAGTGACAGACGTGTGTTCACCTCATTTATTAATCCATAAGTAAACTTTTATGTGTAAGTGTTAATATTAAACTATATGTGATGTGAGAGAGAGATAGAGCAAGACCCGCAGCGTTGTAACTAAGTCTGAAAAATAAAACTTTCCACGAACTGTGTCTGTTTGAGTTCATATAGGAAGATTTTAGAGAAGATCTTAAGTATCAAGCACGACCTTTCACTATTAAAGACTACTTTATTACTTATTTTTTGCAACCAATCTACTTCCTGTTTACATCGGCACCAACCCGCATGCCCAGTGTACGTGAATAGTCACGTGATATTCGTTTTCAGGCAGACTGGACAGAGATCATTTAGAAAACGATGCTGAAACGCCGTGTGGACGGAGATCGTTTTCGTATTAGTGTGGATGTAGCCTCAGAGAGCCGCAACAGAGGGGCTGAAAAGCCGCATGCGGCTCCGGAGCCGCAGGTTGCTGACTCCTGCTTTAGTCAAACCAGACATTGACACAGGCGGCAACCTCTGGTTCTGCCGATTGAAGCTAAAATGCTTTAACTTGTATTATCTCTAGTGCCCACCAGGGGGCGACTCCTCTGGTTGTATAGAAGTCTATGAGAAAATGACTCTACTTCTCTCTTGATTTATTACCTCAGTAAACATTGTAAACATGAGTTTATGGTCTCAATCTCTAGTTTCAAGTCTTCTTCAATACAGCATGATGTTCATTTAGTACATTATGGTCCATTTAGAGTCACACAGACCATAAAGCAGGGGATGCTTTAGGGTGGGGCTTATTGTGATTCACAGGTCACTATCGCCAGAGCCGTATACGGCGTCACTACGTCACTCCTCCACCTGACGTCTACTTCTTGTATACAGTCTATGCTTAGCACATGAAAGAGTAAAGTGACACTTATTTCCAAAGTGGATGTTGGTGTTAAGACAATACATCACCATAAACATGTATGTATATACAGTCATCAAAAACATCACATCTAATTACGATAAATTACAATTGCAATCTTTTTACCCTGCTTTATCAAATGCTTTAAAATACAAAACAAACAGCTACCATAGCATGACCTCACACTTCCTGTACTAAACTCCAGAGCTGCTGCTTAACCCTGTTATATCCCCTCCACTCTGACTGGGGCCATTCCCTTGATGGTATCATACATATGATTGAGTTTCAACTGATGTATTCTCAACACGACTGGTAGGCCTTGCTGCTGAAACTCCAGTCCCCATGTGGTTCTAGGCAAAGACTGTATCAAATATGGACTTTGTTTTAGTGACATCACCCATAGACTGTATATAAGAAGTGGAGATAGTCATGGTGATGTCACCCATTGGTTTGTGGACTGCGGTTATGAAGCATTGAGTTCAGCGATTTCTCCGTCGCCAACTTGTATTACGGCCGTCACCATGTCGTTTTTTTTGCAACGGATGAACTGAAGTTACCATATTTGGAACGTATACAGCTCTGGTAGTGATAGCGACCTGTCAATCACAATGTAGCCCCGCCCTAAAGCATACTCCGCTTTATGGTCTGTTTGACTCTAAATGGACCATAATGTACTGAATGAACATCATGTTGTATTGAAGAAGACTTGAAACTAGAGATTGAGACCATAAACTCATGTTTACAATGTTTACTGAGGTAATAAATCAAGAGAGAAGTAGAGTCATTTTCTCATAGACTTCTATACAACCAGAGGAGTCGCCCCCTGGTGGACACTAGAGAGAATGCAGGTTTTATGACACTTCCTCATAGGCTTCACTACACAGAACCGAAGGTTGCCGCCTGCATCAAACGTAGTTTAGAAATCAAATTAAAAAAGAAAACACCAAGGTATGCTATTTAAACTAACTACTATATATACTGTTATTTATACATTTAATTATGCGTCTGAATTTGGAGCACTGATTTTTCTTTTTTTATCCTTTATTTTACCAGAAAGGTCGTACTGAGATACAATATTTCTTCCCCTGGTCGAGATGGTCAGCGAGTAAAAAGTTTCATATACTAGTGCAAGGACAGATAACAGACTGCAATGGAAAGCTCACTGTGTTTAACTCACAATTACAGCCTCCACACTGCAGTTGTAGTACAGTTTACCTCTGAGGGCAGTAATTGTGGCCTGCATGGCAGTCTTTCACAAAAATGATTATTTAAAATAACTATCAAGTTTTTTTTTCATTATATTTGAGGCGATGTCACAGTACAGAATATCTCCATCGTGGTTATATTTCCTTTGGTTTGAGTCTTATGGAAAACTAAACAAGCCTTCAGATGTTCCTCCCTGCCAGCTGAATCGTGTGGTGATTTCCGCGTGTGCGCGCTCAACATTTCAGCTGCAATCAATGTACAGCACTGTACCGGAAGTACCCTGGTTGTCCGCCAAAATAAAAACCTTAAATATTTTTAAACGACTCAATTTACGATCACTCATCGGAATCAATCGGCTGTAATGGCCAATATATGTGTATGTTAAAAAAAGGAATTTGACTCCGGTTTGGACAATGGTACACACACGTCCAGAGGAAACAGAGTCGACAATAAACATGTGTTACTTAATGTTAAAGTAAAATGAACCGTCATGTTTGCTATTCTTTCAGCTAATCCATGTCTGGAACCTTGCAAAGGCTAAGAAGAGGGGACTTCTCCTTAATGCTCTCCGAACCATAAAATAGGTTGTTAAAACTTTTTGTGAATGCTGAACTAATCATTATCCCTCTAGCGATGATAGTGACGGCTTTTATTTTGAAATCAGTTAAAGGAAGTCCTGTTCTCGGTTCGCTGTCGGAGTCTTTCTGCTGCTCTGAAGTTCTGGTGGAAGTTTACCTTTTCCAGGTTTGTCCCATGAGCTGAGTTCATTGTGAACGGTTCGAGAGCGAGATGAGCGTACAGACGGTCCCCGCGGACTTCCCGGGACACATGTTGGACCTGGACGAGGACGACGACCTGGAGGTTTTCAGCAAGGTAAAGAAAAGAAGTGCCTGAGAAATGAGGCGAAAGCGTCAGACTCTCTCCAGCTCCCATTGCCTTTCTCCCTACGTGGATTTGACCCCCGGCACCAACACTCCCGCTTTAACTTTAACTTGTAAAGTACCGTAATTATTGTTAGTACGTCTTACTGCAGTCCGGTCAGAATGTCGCGACTGACCACATGCTGTCATATAAAGGGGAAGGAAGCCGAACGTTCTGGATCAGCTGATGAGCTGACCTCCCGACCCGCTGTACTCAGACTCACGTTAACGCCAAGTCCGTTCCGGTTTTGAATAATTAGGTGTCTATTTACTTGTTTCAAAACTTTACTCTAGATAAAAAAATCCTTTTAACAGCTTTTACTTCTGTACAGCCCCCCTTGCTCCAATACAATAATGCACACTTAGTGCAGGAGCTGTTGAACTCTCAGCCTATAGGTTCACCTCTTCACCAAGCAAAGGAATCTGAACTTGACAGAAAGTTTAGCTGGCACTTAATTGGTGTCCATTGGTGGATTTTATACAAGCCGAATATTAAAAAAAAAAAAAAAAAAAAAAAAAGTCCCTCTGGAGATTTGCCAAAGGCCCATAGTTATGTTTTGCGCGTCATGTATTATGACAAATATCGAGAACACGTAATATTGTGACATTGCCATATGCAGTTTGGTGCAACATTGGTTTTGCACACGAGAAAGTTGCAATTTCTTGCACAACTTATTTCTGAATCCTATAACTGGACTTACTCTGCCGAGCTCCAATGAGAGCTCAACACTGGAGTCAAAGATTGTAAATGTTGAAGAAGATGAATCACACAACTTTAATAAAATAAGAAAAAAAAGATATAGACATGGTGGGCTATAGGGAGAAGTGCTTTAGTTCATTGATACTTGAACATTTGAACAGATTTTCTATTGGTTCATAGCACCGTACAATCAAGACAAACATGTACACAATCAAACACTTCGATGTACGATGTCCACGAATGACAACGAAAGACATAATGTATTTTAACGGCGACAGCGATGTACTAAATCTACACGTAGAGTATTTACTTCAGTGTGATGTGTGAACACGGTACGGCAGCCTTACAGTCATTGGAGGCTCAGGGTGAACGTGGCTGTGGTGTCGGGCTTGATTTAGGTCAGACTGAACAAAGGGAGCTCTCAAACAGAACTGCAGCTTCAGTCGACTTAGTTGCAAATCAGCAGCAGTCAGGCTCCATGATCAGGTGCACTCTGTGGCCACTTCATTATGTACAAACAACCGTTCTGCCATGTAGTCCACTTGTATGAAGCCTCGGTCATGCAGGTGTCAGTTGAAGTCAGTGTTGATCATTGAGGTAGTTGGTGTTGTATGGACTGCATCATGTTCAGATGTGTGTCTAATAATCAGGCTCAGAGAGACGCTTTCAATTATATTTACTCAAACCTATTAATCAATGATCAAAATATTTGGCAGTAGTTGAAATAGTTGTGTAATCTATTGTGGGCTGTGGCTCAGTGGTAGAGCAATCAGAGGATCGGTAGTTCGATCCCCAGCTCCTCAAGTCCATGTGTCCTTGAGCAAGACACTCAACCCCCTGCGGCTCCCGTAGCTGTGCCTGCGGTGTGTGAATGTTGTCAGATAGTTCAACAGAGGCAGCTGGTTATTGTGGCTTCTCTCTGCATGTGGTTTGGGTTAAATAGCTTGTAGTTGTTTCCAGCAGTGTGCTGCCACGTTCTCATTAACACACACACACTGTTTGTTCCTGTACAAAGTGAGAGCTGCAGGGAGTGTGTGTTCGTATGTACACACATGCATGGTAGTAGCGTTACTACCAAAACACACCTGAGACACAAACGATAGTTGGACGGTATAGTCGCCTAAACTATTACATTTTTTTTTTTCTTCTTATGACTATTTGAAATATTGACAGTCATGATCCATTCCTTCTACACACTCGATGTAACGCCATGCTCAGTATAAGCTCTTTAACACTACATTCATTCATACACTGATGGGAGGGGCTACCATGCAAGGTGCCCCCTGCCCGTCAGACTATCTAACATTCACACCCACTGGACAGTGCCTGGCCCAAGGGCACACCGACATGGACTAGAACCGCCCATCTTCTGATTGAGAGACGACCCGCTCTACCTTCTGAGCCACAGTACGGTACTGTGGAAGAAAATAATGGAAATATAACTCTCTTGACCACATGAAAAATCTACAAGTGCCATCAAACTCAGAAATGTAAGATTATTGGATCATGAAACAAAGGTTGAAATAGCAGTTTAATACTGCTCTCTGCTCAACAAACTGTTTCAAAGAATAATACTAAAACTAAAGCACTACGGCATAAGATGGATGCCTGTTGAAACAATCAGATCAAACTGTGAAGAATCAAAACGACAACGAGTGTAGCTCATAGTTATGCCCATAGACTGTTTATAATTATTGTTTATCAGCTGAATCCCCGTTAATCTTCCTGAGGTCCAGACAAAAGATCAAAGATAATACACACGATACATGACGTACAGCAAACAGTTAAAACAGTGCAGTCACAATATACAGACTGTAGGTGTAACTGACAACCAGCCATAAACCAACCTCCACAATGCTGAGGAGGGATTGTAATCATCTGTAAACTCGTATCTCATATTCATGGACTACTGGAATACCTTCATACAAGTCCTGTAAAGAAACAATACATGTATTAAAAGCTTTATGAAGAAACAAAGGCTGAATATCCTGTAGAGTGTAGACTATCTGATTTGGCAGCAAAATATTTACTCAAATGAAGATTTTCAAAACTTCCTGTTTCTAAAGCATGAAAAAACCTGCGGCGAATATAAACCACGCTTTACGACGTGCCTCAAACTGCCTTGTCAGGCCTTTTTTTTTTTTTTTCAATTTTGCATCGTCACATTCAGGAAAGCTTTTTTCTTGTCCTGCAGTACCTGTTAGGAGAGAGCTGGAGGGAATAGAACGCTAAGGATGTTTTCCCCAGAGGACGATATTTTATTAAAGAAATAAATAAGTTAATAATAATTATACTGTTCAAATGACAAGCATGGGCGTCGGTGGGTGACATCAGCTGTCACTATGAACATGAAGTCAGGTTGTAACTGGATGACTGGTCTGTGTGCTCTCTGCAGGACGGTGTCTGCACTCAGCCAAAGATGGTTTATCAGCTAACGGGAGCTTCACTCTGTCTAAATGTTTGTGGACTGCTTGTTTTTGTCGTGCAGACAACTCGAGCAATACATCTAGCGAATTGCTTCGCACCAATTCCACATCATCTAGATGGGTATTAATACACTCCTTTCTTTTTCCTTTCCCCCCCGAGCATATTCAACCTCAATCATCTTCTTTCCCCACACACCATCTGGATCGGTTTGTGAATTTCTGAATGCGCCCACAGGATCCAGATGGCTCCCTCAGTTAGCAGTCAAAGATAAACTTCCATCCACAGTCTTCAACAATGACAATATGCTCCTTGAAATGTGGGCGTTGTCCTATTGTGTGTTTCCATGCAATGAAAGCACATTTTGGATGGAACCATTAGGCAGGGCTCAACATTAACGTTACTCCAGTAAACTCCAGTGTGTTTGGGCAAGTAAAAAATCCATGTGATCGTTATCAGGGGCCGATACGCAGTAAATCTGGGGTCTTTCCACAAGCACAGTCCTGCTTATAAAGGAGCTAAAGGCTAACATCAACGGAGGCTCCATTCAGTTCCATTATGGTGGATCAGCCAGCAGAGGACAGACTTATTATTTAGACACTGCAGCCAACAGGATTTAGAACTCTTAGGGTTCTTGCTCTGATGGTGTTTATCATGACTGAGGAGGGGAAGCCTACTTATCATCAAAGCACTGTGGAAAGAATGTCACTCGACCGCTCCAAAATAAGGAAAAAGCTTCACTTGCATTGATTTCCTGCTTTTGCATCTCTTCACCACACCACTTGGTTGGCGCTGAGGACAGCCGTTGCTGAAAGACTTTGTTTTCTGGTTGTCCGTCCGTACAACCGGTCCATTCTTGTGTGCACGGTATCTCAGGAATGGCTGACTTTCTTCAAATCTGGCACACACTTACACTTGCGCTGGTGATGACTGATAATACCGACTGTTATTTGGCCATAACTCGAGAACTAAAATGCACACAAAGACGTTAATGAGCCACAGGAACTAATACTAGTCTTTTTAAGGACAGTTTTTGAAAGTTTGTAAGATGTAGATCAGTCTATGATTCCTGAGCTTTTCTTCTATTTCGAGCTTTGTTCAATGTGTAATAAAATGTTTTTTCTACAAACTTATTTTGCGTCCTGACAGAAAGTGCAGAACATCTCTCAATCTAGTTTAAAGGTGCCACATATGAGCTCTGACCAGAATGTTAGTTTTAAACACGAACAAACATTCTCACCAGACTGTGAAGAGGTTTAGACCTGATGTCAAAGATGTGTGGTGTCGCAGTGAACGAGCATGCTAACCAGCTAGGTTAGCTAGCTCGGAGCACATGGCTTGACATTGCACTTTCTAAGAACAGCGGCCACTTTGGGAAAAGTGACGGAGCTTGTAGAACTCGCATTTGCTAATAACATGACTCACAGTGGCATCCTCTCATTGGTCCAGAACACATCGCTGGCAGATGGAAGTCCCATGCCCAACTCTCCCAGCTCCATGGTCAACCAGTACAGACTGGAGGAGGAGGAGGAGGAGCAGCAGCAGGATGCCGACGCCCAAGACATCTTCATCACCGTCGATAACCCAGAGAGCCACGTCACTGCCATCGAAACCTTCATCATGTACAGGGTGGCGACCAAGGTGAGCAGGTCCTAATTTAGCCGGTGCCCCGTCTCTGGTCTTAGGACGGGGAACCTTCCTTTGGGACCAGAGATGTTTGGGGTTTTCGTCTTCATCTCACGGCTTTTGGCAACAAGAATGTTTTTTTTTAGTTATGACATAATGCAGCGCTGTTGCATAATGTGTTGTTACACCCCTTAAACGTTAATTGTTCAAAACAGTATTTTTTGTGCGTCATTTTACACAAAGCAAGTAAGTAAAGGATACCAGGAATAACGCTTCATGTTAATTTGTATCCTCTCTCTCTCTCTAGACTACGCGGGGCGAGTTTGACTCCAGTGAGTACGAGGTATGCCGGCGCTACCAGGACTTCCTGTGGCTCCGAAGCAAACTGGAAGAAAACCACCCGACACTCATTGTCCATGTATGCATCAGCACACCACACCAGCTACTCGACACATCTGCAGGCTGAGATGTTTCAGCTCATTTACCAAGTCACACATTGACATCACTGCCAGCCATTTTCCAAATTTATCTTTCCATCTAGGATTCCTCTGGTTTTTCCAGAAACTGACATATTTCATTTTTGAAATAATATTTTAAAATAGACACTTCAGACCCATTTGACATTCCTCTGACACACCTGCATAAACATATTGACAATATCCATAAACACATTTATTCACACACCTGCACACACATATATATTCACACACCTGCATAAACACATTTACTACACACTTGCATGAATGTTTATATCCACATGTGCATAAACATATATACTCACACCTGCATAAGAGTATTTATTCACATACCTGCGTATGCATTTTTAACACATTAATAAATCGTCTTTTGAAAACAGGCACCTCAGAAAACATTTCAATTTCATGATTAAAGACTCATTTGTGCATGCGCAGCAGAAATGCTTCCCCGGGAGGATACCTTTCCGCTCCCGGCTACTGCTATGTGCGGTCGTATCCCATGCACATGCCTGGTTTCTATGTACAAGCTTTGAGATTAATGCAACGCCATATACATGCCACACGTACGACCTATCGCACACAATAGCGGCTGAATCCTTGTCTCGCTGTGTCCTCAGCCGCTGCCGGAGAAGTTTGTGATGAAGGGCATGGTGGAGCGCTTCAACCACGACTTCATCGACACCAGGAGGAAAGCCCTGCACCGCTTCCTCAACAAGATCTCCGTGCATCCCATACTGTCTAACAGCCAGCACTTCAAAGTCTTCCTCACAGCACAGGTCTGTCTCTCTCTCATTCACTCTCACTCACACTCTCACACACACACTCTCACACACACACACAAGAACTCCATTTCCCAAGGATCAAGAAGTTGCTTTTACTGCTAAAGCTTTACTTTGAGTGTTAAGTACTCAATGTGTTTGTCAGTGAGTGTTAGAGATGTTGGTAGGGGTATTTTTGATCTTTGGACGGAGTCAGACTAGATGTTTTCCCCTTGCTTCCAGTCTTTATGCTAAGCTAGGCTAACCACGTCCAGCTCAGTTCAACTCTGAACTGATTGAACTGATGATATCGATCTTCTCATCTCTCTCTCAGAAAGAAAACAAGTGTATCAATAAGTAACCAAGCTTGCAGAACGTTTGAGCAAAAGGTATTATTTGCCACTAAGCTACATAAATATTAGCCGTTTGATTTCTTGGAGCCAAATAGTTGCTGCTCAACAGAAATTCTCTCTTCATTCAGCTTCATTCCCTCAATCGGGCATCTTATTCATGGTCTCTATACATCGCCTTGTATGAAATGCATTTAGACCAGTGTGACCCTTTGTGAACTCAGCGTTGATGCACAGCTTAATTAAAGCCGTGGTATGTTTGACCCCCCCCCCGCGCAGGAGTTGCTGTCTCACAAGAAACAGGGCCCAGGCTTCCTGAGCAGGATGGGGGAGACGGTGAGGGCCGTGGCTAACTCGGTGCGAGGCCTGAGGAGCCGGCCGGAGGAGTTCACTGTGATGCAGGACTACGTGGAGGACTTCAGTAGCAAGATCTGCTCCGTGGACAAAGTCACCCAGAGGATCATCAAGGAACAGAGAGGTACTCCAACAGACACACCGAGGAGTTCATCTACACTATGTCTGCTCCGTAGAGACTCAGAAATACTGCGTCGGAACCAAGCAGGGCCAAATGTCTTGAGGTCGGGGGGAAAAAAGGAATAACAATTAAAAATTAAGATATAAAATGAAAGATTGTACAAAAACAATTTCAAATCTGACATTTACTGATAAATAGACGAGTCAGACCCTGCTGCAGTAAAATGAGAGGTTTTCCGTAGGGACTCTGGTGCTCGGAAACACGACCACTGTAGTCCACAGCGGCCGCCAAAATCAACATTAAAGTTCCTTGTAGTAGCATTAAGAACAATACTCAAGAAAATGTTTTTAGTTGCATGCCGGCCCTGGTCAGTTCCCTCTGATATTGGATAAACAAATTCCAAGTTGTGTTTTTTAACCGTTGAATCCATCCAGCTGGTTTATGTCTCAACGTCTCCTCTGTTCCCTCCAGAATATTTTGATGAGCTGAAGCTGTACAGTCCCACCTACGCCCAGTGGGCGGAGTCAGAGGAGGAGCTGGCGTTGCCCCTGAATGGCGTGGCCAGCTGCGTGGAGCGGTGCAGTAAGGAATCGGAAGAGCAGATCCAGCATCTATCTGAAGTCCTCGTCCCCGCTCTGCACGAGTACGTCCTCTGCACTGAGACCCTGAAGGTGAGACCAGGGGCCCGTTCTAGCTCGTTTACTCAAATGTACGTGGTGAATGGAGAAAACGATAACAATGAAGCCATCGTCGATAGAGCTCTGATCAACAGGTCAAAAAGGAGCACAGCCTCCTCTACTTGGAGATAGAGATGCCCCGATAGCTTTTTCTCTGCCCATCATCAATGATCCATATCCACCCGTACTCATAGCAGCTGGTATTCAAGGCTCACTTTCTTTTGCCACTGTCGTGCTAAATCCTTTCAATTGTCCTGAAGTCAGTGTAACCCGCCCAAAATTGGCAATGTTTTCTTTTACTTTGTTATTGTCATCTATAGTGATTGAATAATCAAGAAATAAATTATTGTATTTTTTTCTAAATATTTGCTTTGATTCAAAAAAAGAAGAGATGTATTGATGTATTTATGTATTATAAGATTTATAAGGCTGGTGCAGGGAAGTTAAACGGGTCATATTTCCCTCTCTAATATCCTTTTGATATTTATATGAATACGTCTCCTTTAAACAACTGTATATTTTTAAGTTTTTCACCATAAGCTACATTTAAACACGTCATGATAGCATTTTAATTGACTTTGCCCAATATGACAGATATTTACTGAGTGGTGCTTGAACGCATCATAACATTGATCACTGCAACCTCCATTGACGTTAGCCGTTTAGCCAAGGCTATCGGCCAATAACAATGGACAGCCGATCAATCGGGGCATCTCTACTTACAGACCTCTGACTGTAACGACCCAGTGGTGAAGACTCAATTCACTGCATGGACCTTTTTAGGGATCTTACCGGTGTTCTAACCTGATGAACCAGACTCTAGATTCAGTCCCTTGGCTATGGTGTCTAGTGCCAGACACCCTAAACCCTGACCAGGAAATTAACAGTGCTGCACTTTGGACTTTGTTTTGTCAAACCCAAAGCCACTAACACAGTGGGCCTGCCATTGGAATCAATGTACCGTACTTTATCTCATCATTTTCAATGATGTTCAGAACAAAGTAGTCGACTGAAGGCCTTTAACACACCAAAGGTTTGACGGGTAAACGACACGAAAATAACATGTTGGTGTTTAGCCATTATACATGTTACCATGATCATCATCTTAGTTAGCGTGTTAGCATGCTAACAGTAGCTAATAAGCACTGAACAGAAAGTAAAGCTGGGCCTGATGGGAATGTCATTAGTGTTGCAGGTTTTTAGTCACAAACCAAAGAGTTGGACAAATAAACATTTTGACCTGAGGATGGAAAATGTGCTGATCACCAACGTGATACCAAATCATCCTCAAGAGGGAAGACGAATGAAACGTTGCCAATCCATCTTGTGGATGTGATGATACTTTGGTATCATCTAGCGGTGAGGTTGCAGATTGCAACCGACTGACACTTCTCCTGTTTGCCATGCGTGTAGGAGAACTGTGGGCACTGATGTGAAAGGGCCCATCTAGAGCCAGTGGTTGGTTTGTCCGTTCTTGGCTACTGTAAAAACGGTGCAACATGGCGAACTCCGTGAAGAGGACCTGCTACCTGTGTAGATATGAAGGGCTCATTGTAAGCACACAGAGATTCTTAGGTGATTATACACTAAAGAAACTACATGTTCCATTTCTGCTAACAGATCCCTCGAACTGCTACACCTTTAAATGGATAAGTGAAGAGTCAGGGATCACCACAGTCATCAGGACTCTGGGAAACTTTAATAACTGTACACAAGTTTGAAATGTCAGTTTGGACCAAAGTGGAGGACCAACGCACTGACTGACATAACCTTCATAGAGCCATCAGTATGGTGATAAACAGAGTGTGTGATTGACTCAGAGTTGTATTTCCTCTTTCCAGCTCTGCATGACTCCTTTGCATCATTAACAGCACTTGTTGTGCCACCACGTCTCCTACAAAGCCACGGTGTTCGTAGTCTGTTATGGGTGTGGTTTGCCTAATCCTTTAGATGTGGTGGGAACACAAACGGATATGCGCACAAAGACTGGTTTGTTCCTGATTTTCTCATTCCTGGGTTTATCCCATTGGGACTGTTCGGACAACAGGGACGCGCGTTATCGTCTGTTAAGCGTATTCGCAGAACCGCTTTTCAAAACGCTCACGAGACTCATCTGTTGTTTGTAAATCTGTCCTAGGCTGTGATGAGACGGAGAGACAACATCCAGGCCGAGTTTCAAGCCAAGAACGAGGCCCTGGCGTCCAGACGGGCGGACCAAGAAGCGGTAAGTGCAACAACGCATCCACACACACTGACAGAAAATCAGGCACTCTCACACACACACCCCTCCCCTCCTCGCGTCCCTCTGAGCCGAGCGTTTGTGTCCCCCAGTCACCTTTCCAGAGATTAGGTGTAATAAAGTGAAGCAATGGGGTGGGACGTCTCCCAGGGGGGAGGGGGGGGTGCCACCCTCAGCTCATATTGGGGAAGAAACGGGGCTTCCTGGGAGGGATTATCTAAATATCCAGGCTCGGCGCTTGGAAGTGGTTCCTCAGCTCTGTGGGAATAAGAGCTGTCAATATTATTTCACACCGTAAGCCCGGCAGTTAATCGCGGCGTAATGAAAATTCCTACATCCTCAGTGGATGGCGACTCACTTCAAAATGTCAGGAGACAAAGAACGGAGACGGAAAGTTTGCGAGCAAAGGACAGGGCTATTTTTAGGCACTTTTACTTGAGGTGTTTGGATCTGTGAGAAGTGTGTGTGTGTGTGTTTGTGTGTGTGTGTTTGTGTGTGTGTGTGTGTGTGTGTGTGTGTGTGTGTGTGTGTGTGTGTGGGGGTGGGTGGGTGGGATTTGCAGGTGTGTATCCCCCCTCACCCAGCTGATATCAAAATCCATCTGTGAGGTTTTAATTAAGAAGCAGGACTGAGATTTCCCCCCACAGACTTGTATTGTATTCCTGCTTTAATTAGGTGTGTGTGTGTGAGTGAGTGAGTGAGCTGTTATGCGTATCAGTCTGCCTTTAACACATCTGCACTAATGAGAAGGGAAATGTCAAAGAGATGCCTTTGTTACCGCTTTTTTTGTCAGAGAGACGACGTGGTCACACGCCGAACGAGAGCCAGGAAACACAAAGCGGCTCTCGCTCGGCCTCCATTTCATTTATTTAACGTATTAGTTAGGTGGGGAAAATGTTGATTTGAAAGGAATCCGGAAGGCCACCTGTGATACCGGATAGAAACGGTATTTCTCATTAACGGGGCTCGGGGTGCAGTTTAATGGGACTGGGTTGAGTCTTCTTTGTGGTGGATACATGTGTTCTCTGCAGGCCGTATTACTGCTGCTGTATCGACGGGATCACTTCCATCAGGGAGAGTGGCACTGATACCATAGATGTTGGACGACATGCATTATGAAAAGAAGAAAATACGTTTTAACATGTGCCTGCATGTGAACACGCTCTAAACATGCTCATATATTGGACATTGGACCAAAACAAATGTCTTAAACGTTTTCTAGCCTTTATTTGTTGTAAAGTTTGGACAAATCTGAAGAAGGGTCGCAAGAAATCTATACATGTTGATCATTAGGCATTATTTGAAGTCATAAAAAGCATCTTTCTTATATGAATATGAAGCATGTGTATGGACATTTACCCCTTTTGTGACTGTTGACACTAGCACCGCCAGCATTTAGCCCCTGCAGCTGCAGCGGTCTAGCAGCCCGCCGTGTGTCATTTGATTGTTTTTAGTTCACGAGCACATCAATAATATACCTGTTAGATGAAGTCAGACCAGGATCAGCAACCTTTTCAATGGCCCTGTCTAATTTACTTTAATGTTTGTATTCTTTACAATGTGCATTGATTCATGCTACAATGCTAAAATACACCTACACTAATACATAACTTGTACCCTAATTTATTGTTGCCTTCAGGTCAAAGTATGTCGTACAGGACATAAGACAGAGAAAAAATATGTAATAATTTACAAGTCTGTTTGATTGAAAGTGTATTCCTGTGTGTTGGGTTAGGGTCGGTGCTCCTTGTCCTGAAGTACAAGAGTAAAGAGCATCGATTCTTGCTCTTCTGTCCCTCGCATGTGATACGGATCATATGTTTTCTCACGTGACCCACAAATAACTGAGCGGATCGTATATTTAGAAGTGGTCCATAAAAGCAGCGTGGCTGCAGCGTTATCAGCACAGAGAACCGGTTTGTGGCATCTATTCAGTCATAACTGGGAGGCATATTCTATGACTGAGCTGTCATGTGACGCCTGTTGATTATTATCACTGTGTGGGGTGATGTGCGTCTTTAACACTGCTGTCAGATCTGCTCTACAGACTGTAGTCTTCTGACCAGTAGGATCCTTCTCAACTCCCAACAGCACAGAACTGAATTCCTGCCTCCTGTAAACATTATCTTGACCTTTTTATTATAAATAAAATAGGGAGCCTTTTCTGTGAATCTACCAAAGACGGACTGAGTCTATGACACAACACAGCCAGGAGGGGGCAGTGTTGCTCTGAAGTAACAGCACACTCTGAGGAACCAGGTATGTTTCACCAAGGCACATTCAGTTACCTTTACTAGTTTAGATTAATTAATTTAGATTAGATTAAAATAAAAATTAGATTAGATTAAAATTTAGATTAGATTAGATTAGATTAAAATTAAATTAGATTAGATTAGATTAAAATAAAATCTAGATTAAAATAAAATATGAATTTGATTAGATTAGATTAGATCTGATCTGTAAAGCCAAAAAAAAACACAAATTTGTCTCAGAGGGCTTTACAATCAGTACACATGCGGCATCCTCTGTCCCAGAACCCTCACATCAGAGCAGGAAAAAGTTTCCCCCTCAAAAACCCGGGGTAAAGAAAAGAGGAAACCTCAGGTAGAGCAACAGAGGAGCATCCCTCTATCAGGATGGACACAAGTGTGATAGATGCCATGTGTACAGAATGAACAACATAGTTATTCCATATGAGATAACTGATACATATGAGAGTAGTAACAATAGTAGTGGCACTAATAATAGCAGAAGTAACTATATACAAATGTTTACAATAACAGCAGCAGTGGATATAATGGAATGATAAAAAATATGTAATAAATAAATAATAAAAGCAGTAATAGTACTAAAAATGTGAATAATGATGATAAATGAATAATATTCACACTTGTGTCGTGTGGTTCAGAGTGCCGGGCTTTTACTTATTACATATTAACTTACTATTATAGTTTTTCAGTTTTGAGATTTTGGTCTATTTAGCTTCCATAACATAAGAAAATAACCACAATTTTGTTTATTTTACTACTTCTTGGATTTGTATCTGTAGGTTTCTCCTAAATTCACAAAAGTCACCATTAGATAATGAGTCATTTGCATATTTAAACATAACTTTCAGAAGTTTCATGGTGGTATCTATCTGGTGACAGCCATTGCTCTATACACCTGCAGGGTCTTCCCTAAAGACACCGATGTGTCTGTAAGAAGGCAAAAGTCAAATACGGTCCTTTGTCTGCAGGTGTAACTGTGACCCAGCTGAGTAAATCAACTTGGTAAATTGACTACTTTATGTTCATATAGGCCAAAAAAGAAAACTCCTTTGTGTTTGTTTAGAAACAGGAGACAATAAGTGAAGTGGACTTGTGTAGAGGGAGACCTTATTCCGACACAGCCAATCAAATCCCTCATGAACTTTTATTTGCAATAAGGCTCATTTGCATAGAAAGAGGCAGATTATGCGCATAATGTGCATATTACTGGATTTAAATACGTGCAAATAGGACAGGAACACATTATTTAACATTGTTTCTTTTCGTCGTATGCGTGCAGGTTCAGCGTCTGCAAAGGCCACCCAATCCTTTTGTGAATTGGCCCCTCAGTGTAACCTGAAGGCATTTCTACTGTACTGTCAGATTATACAGTCACTACACTGTAAGCACTGCTTCAGAGCTGAAACTCTCCCTGGCTCTCATGTTACTACTGGAAAACACACACACACACAGACAGTTGCCATCTCTTCAGAGATCGATAGATGGATCGATATCACTGCAGTAACAAGCAGGCCACTGAGGTCTCCACAGTTTACACGAGTGTGTGTGTGTGTGCGCTCGCCCATGTTCAGCATGCATTGTTTATTGAACTTGAGTAAATGCTATTGTCAGTCTAAATGTCAGACTGCTAATCCCTGCTGAGGCTCTGTGAATGCTGCTGCATGATAACATCCTGAGGAGAGCTAATAGGATGTATACTTTAGGGTCTTCATACAGTCTCGGGTACATACTGTTCATTTATTGATGCTGACATACATCTAATAGTTATTACCAAATAACTACTAATAACTCTGGTTTACTGTGAGGCTAACTCGGCACTGGAACCAAGGCAGCTTGATAAAGTGGGTGTTTGTTCGGCGTCTCCAGTAATTCTCCATTGGTTATCTTATTCTGCTCTAATGGTCTGTAGGCCACAAACCTATGAGCCATTACAATAAAACACAAAGTCCATCTTATTCGACTGCAGTGTACGAACTTTATGCATAGAGGAGGAAAACTACACTAAAGGAAAAAGACTCTTTTATTCAAATGTTAGCAAGATTGCCAAAGTACATTTTCATACATTTAGACTCATCAGAGAATGCTTATTGTTCCATGCTGCAAATTGTTGTATGCATTCCACATTCATTTCACGTTAACGTTATTGTATAACTAGTCACAGCAGGACAAGCTGTATACACATCATTGACATATTAAAGCCTTACAATGTTGACGGACTGTAAACTAGACTAAGACTACATCGACCGTATGTAAGAAGTGCACGTGGTCACCGTCACGTCACCCATTGGTTTGTGGACTGTTTGTGTGCCTTGAGTTCAGCATTTTGGCTGTCGCCATCTTGGTTTTTTGGAGCCAGAAGTGGCCATATTGTGATGAGAGGGTGGAGCTGGGGAGGAGTGAGGCCCGCTAAGCTGCGCTAGTTTGCTCAGTTAGCAAGCTGCACCCGTAGGTCACGTTAACTGTGATAGTATTTGGAATGCTAATTTTTGCCAATGAAAACATGCTTAAAGCAAGAAAGACTGACTAGAAAAAATGAACAGCTGACTAGACAACGGAACTCTGAACAAAGCTGTGGTAGCAAAGCCGGAGTAGCAACCTGTCAATCACAGTGTAGCCCCGCCCGAAAGCATACTCTGCTTTATGGTCTGTTTGACTCTAAATGGACCATAATTTACTAAATGAACATCATGCGTATTGAAGAAGACTTGAAACTAGCGACTGAGACCATAAACCCATGTTTACAATGTTTACTGAGGTAATAAATCAAGAGAGAAGTAGAGTCATTTTCTTATAGACTTCTATACAACCAGAGGAGTCGACCCTGGTGGTCATTAGAGAGAATGCAGGTTTAAGGCACTTTAGCATTGGCTTCACATTTCAGACCTGGAGGTTAATACCTGAACGTGTTTGCAGCAAACAGTTGCTTATTTCTACATCCAGCAGACCCAGAGCAACAAAAGCAATCATGTTGAATCGTATTTGTGTGCAAGGCCAATATTTACTCTTTTTTCTAGCAGTAATGACAAATGTGAAGACTTTCATAGACCACATGGTCATTTGAAAAAAAAAAAATTCTAAATATATTGACTATTGCAGCTTAAAGAAAGGATTACTCATGTAGTCATGATTGATCCGGTACTTTTTATTTATATTTTACAGTATTTTTTTATTATATTGCGTGTACTTCGTAATGTTTTGTGTGAGTTCTGTGTATGTGTGTCGAGGCCCATCTAGGACAGGCTTAACAAATTATCTTCGGTTCTAAATGCCACGTACACATTAAATATTGAACATTCGCTCTCACTTTGTTGTCCGGGTGTATTTGTCAGATTTGGTACGCCTATCAGAGCAAGAGGCCAACTCGGCAATATTCTTAAAGGCTTAATGTAAAGTCATAAATAAATTAATAGAACCCAAAATACAGATTGACAGAGGAAACAATACTAAATATTCTCACTTGAAGGGCATAATGGGACTGTAAAGTGTGTAAAGATTTTAATTGAAATTAAATAGTTTAGTGAAGTGTGTGTGAAGTTTGCATTTAGTCTTTACTTGTCTTTTTTTTGCCTTATCGGAAAGCTGATAGTGGGGACGGATAGGAAAGGGTAATGACTTGCAGCCATAGACTGTACATAAGAAGTGGACGTAGTTATCGTAACGCAGTGGCGGGCCGTGCATTTTATACCTGGGCCTTCACTGCTGTCCTGCAGCTGAAATACCACCTATAACCACATGATGGCCCCACCGCTATCATTCGTTTTTAAGGCTGTAACTATATACGTCTTCGTATTAAACTGTTCGGTACGAGGCTTACAATATGTTTGATCAATGCTAGAGCATTTGGAAAATGAAAAAGCTTAAACTCAGGAAATTATAATGTTTTCTGCGCTCATGTTGGACAGTGGTTCTCAACTGGTCTCGCTGTGGGACCCACCATCATTCCTTAATGACAAGCCGCGACCTACAGAGATTGTCTTAAGATTTTACTTTCACAACTTGAACATTGAGCGTACTGCTCTGCAAAGTCTTTCCTCGTCTCAGTCCCCTGTGTCATGGTGTTGTACATCTCACTCAGTCAGAATGCCCATATTTGATTGGCTGAGCTGCATCACGTGATGTGATTCACTACCCGACTAAGCCTCTGCTGTTAAGTTTCATATCACGATAGTCACGTGCTCGCCCACTGACCAATCGGAGCGCACTCTGCACCTCGCGGCAGAGCTGCACATGGACACTGAGCTGCAGGTAATGCTGACGTAGCTATAGGCCGGCTAGCAGGTGCTGACACGTCAAAGAATACGCCCAACATGTCAAACTAAAGATCTGATTGGTTGAACACTATGACAATCAACAATATCGTCCCCATTCACTTAAACTGCACATGGATGCACTTGTGAGTCTGCAGGCCTCTGCATCTGTTCTTACCTAGAGACACAGAGGTGAGATCTGATTGGATAAAAGCTCTACTTAAAATAAGCTGCACTGGAAGCAGAGCAACTGAGGAAGACGGGAGCTGTGAAATGAGAAAATAAGATAATGGGGGAAATATTTTTATAAATTATAATACATGTAGTGTATTTAAGAACAATTATTAAATTATAAAATAGATATAACTTTTTGATTCTCTTTAGGCCAGCAGAGAAGGCTTTGCAGGCCCTGACGGCCCACCACTGTCTTAACGTCATTCATTGGTTTGTGGACTGCCGTTTAGAAGCCTCGAGTTTGGCAATTTAGCCGACGCCATCTTGGAATACGGCTGTGGCCATGTTGTTTTTTTGGCAACCAATGAAAGTAAGTTACCATATTTTGAACACGGAGGAGTGACGTAGAGGCGCCAAATAATGCTCTGGTAGCGGCAGCGACCTGTCAATCACAGTAGGCCCACCCTAAAGCCTACCCTGCTTTATGGTCTGTTTGACTCTAAATGGACCATAATGTACTAAATGAACATCATGCTGTATTTGAAACTAGAGATTGAGACCATAAACTCATGTTTACAATGTTTACTGAGGTAATAAATCAAGAGAGAAGTAGAGTCATTGTCTCATAGACTTCTATACAACCCCTTAAACTTGGACTCAATAGCTAACAGACGGAAGTTTGACCAGCAGAACAATCAATTGCTTTCCCATTTCTGAATAACCGACAATATACTATGTTTATTCTGGTAACATTATTTTTACTAAACAGATAATGCATTTGTTAGACTGTGACGTTTGTTCTTTAAAGTGTTCAGTTTTTTGGTTCATGTTTTTCACAGCTGCAGGATGAGGTGGATGGACTGGCGGACCGCGTGGAGCTGTCCAACAACGCCTTGAAGGGAGACTGGTCCCGCTGGCAGAACGGCATGAGATCTGACCTCAAATCAGCCTTTCTATCCACCGCTGAGAAGAACGTGGATTGCTACGAGCAGGTGAGCTGGCGATGGAGACCAGAGAAAACGGTTTATAGATGGAATCGCACTGTAAAACTCTGCTCTAAAACTTAAAGGGAAATGATTCAGGGTAGACAAGGCTTAATGAAGCCAAGAGTCTATTGATTTGGCACACATGAGCTGTTAGGATGGGCTCCATCTGGAGCCAATTCCTAATTATAGAAGCCCATCATCAGTCTTCACACATCAATGGAATGGTTTCTTATGAATGTGGGAAGAAAGGTGACACATCAGCATGGAGTGTTGGAGGTGCTAGAAGACTGTGTGGTACACAGCGTCTAAGTTGACAGTGATGAGTAATGCTGTGTTTCACTCAAAGTCGGACCTCGGAATTTCCCAGTTGAAATTTCCAACTTTGGACCTCCAAACGTTTCAGGTGCACGACGCCAAACGTAAACCAAAAAACAGGTGGCTGACCATGACAAAGTGCACACACAAGTGACCTCTCAGCGGTTGCAGCCTCCTTGCATATATAAACGGAACAGAGGAGGAGAAACGACACATGAATCAATATACATTCAGAACATAGACTGTATGTTAAAAGTTGAAGTAGTTGTCGGTATGTCACTCATTGGTTTGTGGACTGCTGTGAAGCCTCGATCTGCGATTTGACCGTCGCCATCTTGGATTACTGCCGTCGCCATCTTGGCTTTCTTGCAACCAATGTTGCAAGAAAGTATGGTCACTTGCGAATGCCTCTGTCAGGCCTACCAATGGCCTTAGATGCTTGTTTAAAAAAGGAGATGCACTTATGCCTTCTGGTGACTAGTAGTTCTCTTGAATACCTATGTTGAATACACTTATTGTAAGTCCCTTTGGATAAAAGCGTCTGCTAAATGACTGTAATGTAATGTCACGGTCGGTCAATTTGCCCCAAATTTACAAGTTGAACCTCTGACTTTCAGTGGCGCTCCATTGTACATTTCCTAGTGGAAGGTTGGATATGTTCGAGTTCAGAGTTGTTGTCCTTTCACGTGGGCAATCACTTCCCCCTGTTCACCGCTCCCTCTCTTTTCATACACCCACCCAATCCTAATATACTATCCCTATAGTGTTCAGTAATTTAATATACTCGTATGTAATTTGTGATTGTCATTATATTTTTTTTGTTTATTCAAGATTTGAACTCAAAGTCCACATCCTAGCTTTCCACCACATCTCATGGTCATCATCAGCTGGGGAGGTTTGCTCTGCTGTCATGGAGATCAGTTTAGTGAGTTTGTTCTCATGGAGTTCACATCCAGCACCAAAGATCATGTTTGAACAGAGGCATGAAAGACCACCCGTTAATATGGTCATGTGATGACAGCTGAGCCAACGCCATCTGCTGATGAAGACCATGAGATGCAGTGAAAAGCCCCAGAATAGCTGCAAAGTGGACTTTGAGCAGAAGTTTGTCAAACTCTGAGAGCAAGTTGTGCTATTTCTCTGTAAACGTGTTTTTGATTGAACACTGACTGATGGTTTTATTGGGAATCAGCACAAAATAACGGAACCAAAAACCTTCCTGGTTTCAATCTCAGAGGGAGAGGATTTACCTGAGAGAGGATGGATGCATACATAGTGAAACAGGAACAAAATGTGGAAGGGACAATCCGCTATCCAGATTAAGGAGCAGGCAGGCCGGTGGAGACAGTGGGGGAATTAAGACATTGAAAAAGAACAATGGAGCTAGATGGAGAGCATTACAGCAGGAGGAGAATGAGACAATGAAGCTGTTACGGTACTCATCATTTACTCTTTTTTTTAGGTTTTGTTAGTCACGCTGGAGTCTTAGAAAGCAGCGAGGACATAAATATGCTTCTGTTTGATGTATTCTGGTGGTGAAGGCCGGAGCTCTGCCAGCAGAGGGTAGCGGCGCGTTACGTTTTATTCCTCCTCAGACAGCCGGCCTGAAAAAAGTGTTGCCAGCTTTGTACAACATTGTAATTCCTGGGAAAGCTGTTAAAGGACTTTTCAAATCTGCTGATTATGAAAAACGCTAATTAGACATGTGTTAATGTCTCACTATGTCCCAGAGCCCAAAGTAACATATTTATGTCTTCTTTTTTTCTGACCAACCGTCAAAAACCCAAAGACATTGAGGCCAAGAAAAAATCCTTGGAAAATCCACATTGACTTAATGTTTCACCTCCTCAGACATCAACATTTAAGATGAACAGTTAGAGCTGAATCTGAATCTGAAATGGCAAAATCTAAATGACATTTTGGATGAAAGTGTGCTTGAAGAAATGTTTTACCCACTTTGTTGTGAAAGAAATTGACTGGCCTGCACAGTGACCTGACCACAACCATATCCAACCCCTTTGTGATGTACTTCATGTCTGGAATGTTCAGGTATCCACTTATACCTTGTGTGACTGTCCGTGTACTCTTGGCCATGCTATGTAAAACAGACATGTTTTGTATCTACTTTGATTCTGTGAGAGGCCAAAATAGAAGCGTATTCGTTCAGGCAGCCTTTCTTGTTTCAGGGTTTCTAGTGCTGGTAATGCATCAGAACATAATGGCATTTGGGTAGACTTAATAATAATTTAGTGTGTGTGTGTGTGTGTGTCCTTGCCCCCAGCAAGCAAACTGGTGTGTGTGCACATGTCGGACTGTGCATGTGAAAATGCGTATATAGAAGCAGCCAGAAGGGCTCTTGGCTTCTGAATGTGAAAGCCTTTCAAATACAGGCAAAAGTATTTTGTTAGAAACTGAGCTTTGTATCATTGCCTGTGCCTGATCAACCGTCATGGACACCATGAACGATCATGGACATCCACAGCAATACAAACAAATGAGGCTAATGCTCTCAGCATATTTATGAGTTCTACCACAGACACGTTTAGCTCGTACTTCTGAAGATTCCAGAAATGAAATGTTAATGATTCTCAAAGGTTGGTATTTTGATCATTCAGAAGTTAAGAGCAGATATATGTGCTGCATGAATGGCTTCCCATTCTTTGATGAATAACATAATAATAATAATAATAATAATGGAAGAAAAACTATCAACTAAAAACTATTCCAAAGATGGAGTCTCTGGCCTTGCTCAGACTGCCAGCCCAAATCCGTGTTGTCCATTTTAATCTGGCCACTCTAATCTGATTTCAAGTTGTCTTTTGCGTCACTTTTTACAAACCCCGACGATGTGAAATCCAGACTGACGGAAGTGCTGAGCAGAATCCGTCCTGAGGACAACATGGAGGAGAACCACAGTCTGTGGACAGAAACCATGACTGCGAACGGAACATTGCAATGTCTACCAGCATCCTCCGTCACAGCGAGTTCATGTGGTGTGTATTTCTACACTGTGACTTGTCAGCGCCATTGTTGAAAGGGCATAATGTTGGACCTCCATTTCTCCTGCTTCCACATTCGAAAGCCACGTTGCCAGCGTAGCTACGTAGTTACTGGCTTGGTACCGCATTTCATCCTTTCCGTCGCCATCAATTGACTTGAGGAATCCACCAGAAATAGGATGTTATGAAAGGATGCTTGAACTCACCATGACCGGCTGTAATGGTTCAGTGCCTTTGTGCTGGTCCTGTTTGCCATTTGTTCCTCTGCATTTAGTGTGTGTGTGTGTGGGTGGTAACATGGCTCGACAGTAAGGGTATCATGGTTGCAATTGGCAACCAAGTCTTGGCCTTTGGTTCAGAGGCAACCACTTTTTAATATATAGAAATATGGACAGCAAACGGCAAATAGTGCACCGCACTCTCTTCCTCTGTGTGTGAGAAGGGTTTCCGTTGTCAATTGGACCAACAATCCAAGACTTCAGTGCTGAAAGGCCAACTGGTCTGTGGTGGGAATCGGCATAAAGGTCCAGAAAACCAGACCAGGATGACAGCTTCTCTACTGGTATTTTGCATAGCAGGACTTGAGGATTGGCATCTTCAAATTCTATCTAAGTATCAGATCAAACATAACCTAAGTTTGTTCAGTTACTGTAATAATGCTCTGCCAACGAGCACAGACTGTTAATCAATCCAGCCTTCAGAGAGAAAAAAATAAAACAACCAAACAAATTAAAACACAAAGTACAGAGTCCATATTGATTATTAGATGCTTGCACCGCCAAGTCGGTACATCAGGTTGACACAGCTCGGCCACTCACTTGTAGAGAACACAGTGCTAACAAGACATTTATAATGCAGCAGTGGCCTCTGCAAGAAAACCGCTCGGACAAAGACAGAAACTCCATTACAATAATTCATGTAGGTGATAAACTCTCAGCAGTTAATGGTAACATGCTAACCCCCCTGCTTTGGCATTGCCTTTATAAAGGATAAATACAGAGTATGTGTAGTCCAACTGAAATTCAAATGCAGCTCAAATTATCTTGCAGACTAGATAGCTTATTAGCTGCTCAGGCTAGCTCAGCTCATTGAACAAAACTTGACCGCAATGCTAACGTCAGTCTGTTTAGAAGGTTTGGTCCTCAGCCCTCTTTCACACGTATAGACTCAAAATCTTCAGTCATGGCAGGATGCCATGCATTGTGAATGCAACCTCCAAATAGCTTTGCACCACGCGCGGTGACTCCAGACTCAAAAGTGTGTTAGCCTGAGAGCCAGCTAGCTGCTGCGTTAGCACCACACAACACACACGATGGTCCTACAGTGCTGGCTAACCTTATTAAGTCAGTGGAAATGTAGCTAGCGACACAAGCCAGTGACTGTATGACCCATAGATTGTATTTATAAAGACCTTTTATATACAGTTAGTTTGTATGTATGAAGGTAATGGAAACTTGATGTTCCTACACTGCGTACATGAACACACTTAGAGCAGCTGTTAATCATGACGTCACATCCCGTTTTTAGAGCATCAAATAACTAATTAGATAAATGAAAACTTGACCATACATCGGCGTGATAAGAACTACTTTCAAATCACAAAAACGTCTTGGGGTAAAGTTTATTTGATGTGTATTTTACATTTTTTAAATTTGTCCCATGCCCCATCTACTAACATAGAAGGGATGAGGT